ATTAAAACCATTCTGTATAAGCTTTTATTTATGAACTATATTAAAAATAGCGTTAATAACATTTAAGCACCAAAACGAGCCACCTGAACTAAGCATCGGATAACATATTTCATCACAAAATGAAAATGTGCTTTTATTCGGATTATTTTGTCATCAATTTCAGCACTGAGGCACACACTACCAACTTCGCGATTTTTTGCAGTATGGCCAGTACCTTACGCATGCGCACAGCCATATCACCCGGGCAATGGCAGCCATGGACAGCTGTTTCGTCTTCACTGGACTCATCAGCATGGCATGGCCCCAAGAAAGAAGTCTTACTTGCGATCATCGACCCTGCCATTTACTACTAAGGCGAGTGCAAAAGCACCCCATTGATTAAGCGAAACAGCTGCCCATGGCTGCCACTACCCACGTGATATGGCTGTGTGTATGCGTATACGTCAGTCCTGAAATAGTCCAGTTTCGAATTTAAAATTACCGCTGAATTTAAACATTAACGACGCATTCATACAGGGTTAGCCTCGACGTAAAGTAAAATATTCAGAAATTCTGGCAAGTAAGTGTTTGAAATTTGAATATACACAATAGACAGAGTAATAAAGAGGTATTTTTCTCGTTGGAATTTGTGAATATATTACTTCAGATTGAGGCTAAGGCTGTAAAAAATGCGTCTTCACTTCTTTAATTCAGCGGTCATAGCGAACTCGAAAATGGACTATTGGTCATATTTTTCACCGTTTTTCTTTTAGAAGAACGCAGGCCAGCACATTTAAATTTTATCTTTGAAAATGGACAAAAACATAAATAAAATGGACTATCTGAGACGTGTTACTGAAGTTCAACCTTAGCCTTGGCCTCGAGAAAGCGAAGAGAGAGGCCTAGAAAAGAAGTTGATTGAATTCAGCCTTTGATGCTGGAAAATGATTGTAATCAATGATAATCAATAACAGCTGTTACTTGTTAAGTGGAAGGTTGTTTGAATCTGATATGAGATATTTTTGGTAGTATCCAGTTAATCATAGATATCGGTTCATGGTTTGTTCTTTCTCAGTCAAAGTTTTATTTTAATTCAGTGTTTGATTTATTCAGATTTAGCTTACCTCAAAAAGAAACAGAAACATTACCGCCAAGTTGATATACAGAAAACTTCTAAATATAAACTCAATTCCATTATCTGCAAGAAAGTGTTTTGAAATTCGTAAGTTACTTCTAAATGTTCTTGTGTCTCGAGGATGAAGTAGGTGTGTCGTAAAACAAACATGCCGAAGTTAAGCCGCTGAGTCACGACGCTCAGTCAGAACGAGTCGCGCTTCACGGACCAGGCTAAGAATTACAAGGATTGACGAGGAAGATTTGAGAAAGGAGTAAAATCAATTCAATTTCGTTTCAAGCATTTTTTCTTTTAAGATCTAAGAGCTATTTTACGTGAACCAAATATCTTACCGTCAATAATATTAAAGTCTGCAAAGATATTGGCAGTCACCAGGAAACAGTCCATCAGTGTTACCATGACAACAGTGAAATTAGCATGTCGATGGGTGATGATTGCTCTCAGATTGTTCCTCCACATTTCATCCTTAAACCAATCCTGTCATGTTGGTTTAGAGTTAGCTCTAAACAATTTATTGACAATTATTGGATGAGGTTGAGCAAAATATCGTGATTTGTCAGGTTTCTGGCGAGCGGCTGAGGCAAATAATGGATGTGCTAGACACTGGCAAATCGCGATATTTGCGATAACCGAGTTCAATAATTGTTTTATCATTCGGTTACCGAGTTTGTTTTTTAATGAATATCTTTGGAAAAGGGTAAGAGCGCACTGCCTTTCGTGCATGAGTTATGACAGATCAAATGGTTTCCTTCCCGTTTTGCTCATTTATGCGACCAAACACAGTTGGACGACATTACGCATGAGCAGATCATTATTTGTAGGCAGTTATTTGCAGGTCACGTGGTGAACTCTCGGTTTTCACGATTTGGTTGGAAAAACGGTTTCCCTGATATTCTTCTCGTGGCTCAGTCCGTAATATAAGGCGATGGAGTCACATTTCATAGATAAGGCCATGACTCTTGAACCTAATGGCCTAAACCGCCGAGCGAATTATTGGAATCTGTATCCTTATTAGGTTAAAGTAAAGAGATTCAGAGGTAAAGTAAGAGATTCAGCCGCGCGAAACCTGAACCAAGGACGAAAAAGACAACGATGGGAGAGGGGACGAGGAGAGAAGGCAAGTGAAAAAAATTGCAGGCGGTTTTTCTCACTGCTTTCTCCTCTCGCCCTCTCCCCCATGTCGTTTTCTGTTTCTACCTCGGTTCAGCTTTTGCGCAGCTGTAACTCTTACTTGCGGACCACAAAAAGAAAAAACACACTGAAAAACTGTCAGATACGTAAGCTACGCGGTGCGCGAGTGAGTGAAGGAGGGGCAGAAAGCAAGAGAAATACAGAGACTATCGCACTTCTTTGGAAAATAGCATTTCCGCTCTTTCTTTTTCCTCGCCTGCCATCCCCGACCTCCATCTTTGCCTCTTTGGCACTTGTGTTCGCTTCTCTCGCTAATTTTTGCATTCTTTTCCGTTTGGAGCGAGAAAATAGAGAGGCTGTGAACTGTCAGCTCTTATTGTGACATTTACCTGGTGAATTGTTAACAGGTAACCGTACTTACCTTTCCTTTGCTCTTCAAGTTCTCTTTGCAAAGGGTCCAAATTTTATTCAACGTCTATAAAAAAGAGAAAACGTTCATATAAGTAAACATTTCAAGCCATATGATATATAACTGATTATTTACTATCATATATTAAGCGTCAATAAAATGTGTTATTTCCATCAGAAGATTCTTAGAACGCTTAGAAAAGGAATGACAAGTGTGGAGCGAAGAATTCGAAAATTTTGTGAGTTCCTTCACCACGCTTAGAAAAGGTAAAAGTGGTCTATGTAATTGTAGTACATAATTATGATATTAGTAATATTATTGATGCTTAATTGTATTTACATAAATTCAGAACACGACAGTGTCATTTGCTTCAATTACAATCCTCACCTGAAATATAAAAAGTACAAAGACGCAAATCCCACCAGGGGATTTGGAAAGGGGACACTTCTTTTCTGAAAGAGAGAAAATAAGAACATTTAGGATAATTGCTTTTTTGAGTGACCTCTGTCTTGTGTTCTCCAACATGAACTGAGATCATGTAAGTCAGGCTGAATCTCAGTCCCTCTAAGAAAAGAGCTTATAAATGCAAACAGTCGCCAATACCGTTACCAAGTCACTCGCAGTTTAATGATTTTTAAAGAAGTTAGTCTTGCTGTAAAAAAATGAACAAATTAATTGATTATAATTGTGTTTACTTTAATGAAAAGTAAAAGTCTACTAATAAATACAATATACCATTCAGGCTTGATTGTTACCTTTTGGTTCTTCGTTTGCTTCGTTCGTATCAGCCTGCGCATTTTCTTGCGAAATATATTGCTGACCGGCCTGCGGACTCGTGTGGTATTGTGAAACAGCTGTCTCAATCTTCTTATCCACTTTGCTCCAAAACGAAGCCACCAGCTTTTCGACGTAGTCGGCAGAAAATAATTCGTTGTCGTCCTCTGGGGAATGGTCTTGGGCCTCCAAAGGAGAATTAGATTCGGTTGCACTTGAGGGTACCTCGCTGGTGTGCTTCTCATTGGTTTCACTAGTTGTAGCAGGGGTATAATTTTTGACTCCTTCCTCGTTTCTAGAGGGTGTTCTATTCTTTGTTTGCCGTAGTTCACATGGAGAGACCCTGTAAGATCAATTTTAAGCAGGTTAATACAGCCTGAAGTATCATTACGTGTCAGTCAGATTAATAAAATCAATTTTCCCTGATGATCGTAAAAAGATTCGAAAGCTGTCTTTCCAAGCGCTAGCCCTCCTACAGCCCGAATTAAGTTGCTGTGTCAGGGATGTAAATGGCCGTACTACCATGTTAATCTATTTATCTCGCACAGTCAACTGCCTCTTAGCGGATGCCTCTATACCGTGCGGAAAAAGGACGGATACCTAGTGTTAGTCACTCCCGTTTTTCAATTAAGCAAAGACGTTTTTCAGCGACGCACGTTAACCGGAAGTAAACTTTTTCATTCCTAAGCGGTAGTTTCGCCCCAAATGAGTAAAGACACTAAGCAATACAAATTTGGTAGATTCAAGGAATGTTTAAAGGGGATTAACGCCTCACTTCCGGTTGACGTGCGTCGCTCAAAAACGTCTTTGCTTAACCTCCCATTTGACTCTAGAAGATGGACGGAAGACGGAATTTTAATACTTCTCTGAACAGTCCCTTCTTAGAGAAATCTGGCTGTAGCTCGCGTCCTTAGTTCGCGCCTTAAGTTCGTTCTTTAAAAACGACCAATTAAAACAAAGTATAAGCTCGCCATAAACGTGACAAGAAATACAGAAAAAAAACACCGACGTTTTTAGGGTAAAATTATAAGAGTGCCCTATGATAATCAAATTTTAAAATTCTTCCAATCACCTACAACGATCTTTGTTCTGGATCTACCCGACAAGTGCATGACTGGAGTAGAGAAGAGGTTCAGTACGCAGAGGGATCGATATTTGCAGGGAAATAGCAGAAAATAAATCAGTTACTATAGTAATATCAGCGAAAAACGATATATATAAAACGATGTATTGCATACTAAAGATCAAGAAACTTCGTATTTTGAAGAGAGGCAAATGCCTCGGCTGCCGAAATACTACATGGCTACGAGCACGTTCTTGATTTGGTTTGACACATGGGTTGATATATATACGTGGACTGCCTGAACAATTTAACGAATGACATGCAGAATTAATCAGTTAGTCGAACGGCCTATCTATCCAAACCGATTGCCTGAAGTGCCGCCTCGAGCGGTTGCAGTTTTTACTCCCTAGACTTATTTATACGTGATTAAATATTTAGTAGCTTCAAGATTAGGAAGTCAAGTGGCTCTTACTTGTCGTTATTGGTCTCCAGCCT